CGGACGGCTTCAAGACCTTCTCCTTGTTCAGCTTGTCGCTGCTGGCAAGGCGTAGCCTGTGGTGTGATTTCATGTGAATCTTGATGTGCATCTGGAGTGTCTCTCGTAGTAGGCGTTGGAGCCGGTCGGTCCTCCTGGATCTTGTTGGTGGAAGACATCGACATCGACATGGACAGCGTGAAGGTTGATCTCGTGTGATGGAATCACGTAGTTTACCACACTTGATGCACAAGCTGCAGCGTGAAACACATGTACTAAACCCTAAACCCTTGGACACATGAGTGTGAATGTTTCGCACATGCCGTCATGATGCATGAAATGTTTTCACATGAGCAGGCATGGTAGTGTGCAACGACTTATCGTGTCGGTCTATGCACAAAATGGAGCATATCTGGATCGTGGCGTTGATACAGAGCTCGTAGTTGTCGAAGTTGGAGTAGACGTACTCTTTCCGGGTACGCGATCTTGGAGATCATGTGTCGTCTGGTGCGGTAGGCGCTGGCTCGATGCATCATAGGTGTTGATCCTCTGGGGGAGAGTAGTTGATGTGTTGCTGAAGGAAGTATGAGTTGAACTTCTCCTTGATGAAGGTCTATGCGACACCCTAGATAGTCGGTGTGGTCCTGCTCCTCCAACAAAATCGGAGGTCCATAGAATTCCGTCTGAAGAAACTCATGCCACGGCGCAGTGCAGGCCCAAGTTGTGGGTAGTATGCAGATGCGGTCGTCGACATATCTTTTGGTGAACTTGTTGAAGATCTGACTGGAGGCCAGCACCGATCTGTACGTGTTGTACCATTGATGTTCCTCGACACAACAAACCATGTGACATAGTACCGGGGACATGGGATGTCCCATGGGACTGCCTCTTGTTTGTTTGTAGACCTGTTGTTGGGACGTGAAGTAGCTGCACTTGAGGACGTATTGTGCGATGTCCCAAATGTCGTACATGTAGATGGTGAATCGTCCCTGGTTGATCTTCCTGATCTTGCCGCTGAATGTTCTGGCGACGCGTAGTGTCTTCTTGGTGTCGTATGTGATGGTGACGTCATGCCAGTGGTTGAAGCCTCTTTGCGATGCGGTGTAGTACTTGTTCATCGTAATGGTGAGTGCTTGTAGAATCCGATCCTGTGGTACACTGGTGAAGAAGCCCGCGAGGTCTGCGATCTGGAGGTGCATTTCTCCCTTGCTGGCGTTCATGAATGTGTGGAGGTCCCGGAAGATCTTGTAGGAGTTGTCCTGCTGGAGCGCGTCGGGGAATGCTTGGTAAATGATGTTGGTCAGCACCTTGGCTACCACCGAGAACAGCTTCTTGGCGAAGTGCTGGGAGAAGGAGACGATGGGTCTTGACTTGATGAAGCCTTTCTTTCTTTTGGGGAAAATGTATAAGACACCGGTATCTTGGACATTTTGTGTCTTCGAATGCCCCAAGCATACTTGGTCTTGAGTCGTCGTGGTAGTTGATACCATGCGTTGTGGGCCGCAGCAAATGGTGTGAGTTTGAGTTTGGTGAATACTTGTGGATCTCCGTACATCTTGTCCATCAGTTGCTGGAAGTGGAGCGGGCAGTATGCCAGCATTTTGTGTGGGTGGTGATCTTCACATGCCAATATGTATCCATCATACTTCTCCTGAAGTTGCTTTACCATGGCGTGGTCGATGTAGGTGGTAGATGGCGAGGGAGTTTGTGGTGTCATCGGTTGTAACGCCAGCTTGATGGACTCCTCAGATGGTGCGGCAAGGCCATTACGTCTGCACCACTTGAGTAGATCTTGTGTTGTTTGTGATATCCACGTAGCCGGTTCCGCGAAGGTGCCTGTTTTGGAGGAGTAGGTGACGATGTGATGTAGCGGGTCTTCAGGGCGTGCGTGTTGAAGCTGGAGGTCGATCACCTGGTGCTTGTCCAGATCTAAGGTGGGCGTGGGACATGTACATCTTCTCGTCGTTCTGGGTCCAAAACATATCTTTTGCCAATTGTGGCACTGAGACTCAATGCTTGAGCCTGGTCGTACCACGACTGTAGTTTTTGGCACATGTAGTGAACAAAGTTCATGGTTGTGGGTGGTAAGTAGAGCACGAAGAACTTCTCGGAGATGTCGCTTGCACTCGTCCACGGGTGGGATCATGCTGACTACGAGAGGACGGATGTTGGGAATGTCCAGTTCTCTTTTTTCCAGCGCTTTGACGAGTGCAGACTTGCAGTACTCCTTGTAGGGCGATTCCAATATGTTGGCCATGCGTAGGAGCATGTAGATGTTCTCGGTGGGGAAGTTGGGGCTGAGGAGTGAGCGTGTAGTTTTCCATCGCAATGCAGTTGTGGAGCACAAAGAGGTGATGATGCCCCACATTCTCGTTCTGCCATCCACACGGGTCTTAACTGATTTCCATGTAGAAGTTTTGCGACGCAAATGACGTTGTAATCGAGCTCGAAGTTTGCTGGCGAACACGTTGACATTGGCTATGACTTGTGGCTGAAATGTGCGGCCAGTGTCTTCCTTGAAGTGCTTGTAGATGAATGGGGCGTTGAGTGAAGGTTGAAGATCTGATATGTCGGATTGTTCCAGCATGTGGAGCTCCGCTGCGTCCCGAGCATGGCGAACTTTGATTAGTACATATTCCCAGTATGTACCAGTGGCATGCCAGTAGTGAATATCTGGTTCCGCGTTGACCAGCCTTTGGGCAGCCACGGAGTCGTGCTTGCGGCTTCTGTTGTCCTCCCGCGTGGTGATCTTGTTGGTGGTGCAGCCGACATACATGCGTTCGTGCAAACGTGAATGATCTACTCGCCAATAAACTGCGTTGTGCTTGTTGAAGAACTCGAACGTGTAGCTTTGTGGGGTGAGACGGTGAAACTCTCGAAGACGAGTGAGTCGTCGTTTGTCGACTTTTCGTCGAGGAAAATGCCATAGGTTTGTGAGCCAAAACTTGCCGTAGAGCCAGGTGGAGTATCTGTGGAGGAAGGGAATGCGGTGGTAGGTGTATTGGACCACGTCTTTCGCGATGTCCATACACCTCGTCATGGAAGTGTAGATCTTGGTGAGTCGTCTCGATGGTTGTGTGACTGCCAATAGTGTATCTAGTCAATGCAGGTAGGCCGCGAGACCTGCTACCACTGTGGCAACTGCCGCAGTGCCAGCCGTGTTAGACAGTTTGGGAAGTGACCATGCTTTCACCATGGCTTGGTATGCATCGCTCTTGGGGTTGGCCTCCGCGAAGACGGTGAGTCGTGTAGCAATGTCCTTTTGGGCCTGTAGCCGTGGTCCACTCATCTTCAATGTGTTAATCCACGATGTAGCTGATGGTGCTGCATATCGCGTCAACGAGCTGGTGAGTTCGTGAACCTGCTTGATTTTGTCCATCTTGATGTTTTCGGACTTTTCTGCTTTTGGTGCAATGTCGCTGATGTACTGAATGAGTTCGTCATCGTCGAAGGTCTTCACGAGGTCGAGCAGCGCTTTGTTCTTCCTGGTGTCGGGGGAGTCGAAGGGTTGAGGCGCTGGGGCCGGCTTGGGTGTGGGAGCCTCCGAAACTGGGCTGGGATGATATGATGGAGTGTCTATGCCGCCGAGATGAGTGTCCTCCAAGTCGGCGTCCATTTGGGTTTGGTGTTGGGCTGGGGAGGGGGGAGGTGGCATGGCCTGGGTCGGTGGGCCGTGGACCAGTGGGTGTGTGCTACTGACTGGAATCGGCTGAGGATGGTGGGCCATTCCAGTAACAGAGGGGGTGTCTTGTGTCCATGGCTGTGCCATTGGATGCTGTGTGTGGCTTTGTGTTGTCTCGAAGAACTGTGACATCTGCGTCTGAGTGGGCGGGATGATGCCTTGTGGGAAAGGCGTTTTGCGGCTTTGGCTGGCGAGTTGAGCTCTCAAATTTGCAATTTCTGCTTCTTTTTCAGCAAGTTGAGCTCGTACTTGAGGTTGGACTGCGGGTGGATTGTTGTAGCGCATGAGGTCGCCGATGTTGTTGACGAGAAGTTCCAGGGCTTCTTTACGCTGAGCTTCGCTGGGGAGCATCTCCGTGCTGTTTTTCCATTTCCAGTAGTTGACTGCGATGGCCTCGACGCGGATGCCTCGGTTGCGGATGAAGGTGGATAATTTCATGTGAAAGATCGCATCGGGTAACGACTTGTGTCCTTGAAACTGTGTCCATCTCCCATTTGCTAGTTGTCGGAGCATGTAGTTGTGCTTGCCTTCGAAGGCGACTTGCCAAATTTTGATGTCCAGCGGATCCATGCCTGATGTACCATTCTTGCGTGCTGACGCCGTTGCTGGTACGGTTCTGGGCATCTGTAGTCCTCCATATTGGTGCTGGTCGTAGAGCGTGTCCGTGGTGTCCCAATGCTCCGGGAGGTCGTTGTCGGGTTGGCATCTCGCAATACCTCTTTGGCTCTGGTTTTGGGGTTGGTGTGGTGGGGAGTGGTGGCCGCTGAAGTTGAGAAGTGGCAGGGGAATCGCGATAGACTGGGAGGCCTTGGTGGCGTGCATGTCCTTGACTTCGAGGGTGTGCTGCGTTCCTTGGGCTAAGAGATCGTCTCGGACTGGTTGTCGGAGAATGTCGCCGTTTCGAGTATGTGGGTCGTGAACTTGGGGCGGAGCTTCGTCGTGATGTAAAGGAGGACCTCGGCGTGCGTGATCGGCTTCTCTGTCTTTTTGATGGTCGTGGGGTGCTGAATCGTCTGGATGGTCTGGCAACGTGTCGATCTTGGTGTCGATCGTGGGGACGAGGTCGGCGATCGTCATGTCTTCTGGATCTGTCCGTCATGTCGTGTACGTGACTTGTCTCTGGACTATGTTATGAGACTTGGATCACATGCTGCGATGGCGTGAGCATGCATGCAAAGCTCTGCTGATATTCATGAACTCATGCCGCGTGCGTGAACCGTGCAATGTGAACATGGCTCGTCATGGGACTTCTATTTGATCAGTGCAGACTCGATTCATGTGGCGTGATTTCCTGAGCATGGTGAAACACTAGTAATTATTCTCTTAGCAAAGTAGCCTCTTATCGTACATGATGCCACTCATGCGATTGATCTTGTCGATCTGCCGTGGTGCACCGTTGAAGTTCAAGTAGAGCTCTTCTGTGGTCTATGAACTCCTCCCACTCCTGCTGTGTTGGTGTAGGAACGGCCTGATCTGCTTCGAGTGGGGGATCTTGTTGGAATGGTGTAAAAACTCCATCAAGCGTGAACCAACTGGGTTGATGGATATGCTGGGCGTGATGGCGTTGCACTTGCTCGCGTTGGTGATACTTGATCCAGTAGACTGAATGGTTTCTGGTCAAAGTCGTAGAGGCCAAGGGGATTGGGAGCCAGCGGAAGGGTGTGCGTGGCTCGTGCTGAAATTGGAACCATGCCCAATCTGCGCGTCCTTCCTTGATGCTGCTGGCCGGAATGCCGATCATGGGGATGTGCCCTTCATTGTCGATCTTGTAGAACTTCTCCGTGAGGTGTGGTTGACTGGAGTGCTTGGTGTCCTGGTGGTATGAGGCGTGGCATGGGTCAGCGAACGTAAAGATCAGTGGATCCCAGAGGCGATGGAGCACATGCGCTGCCGTGGCGTGAGCGGAATTGCAAACCTGGGAGTCCAGATCATGTGGGGCAGCACGTCGTGGAAGATGTGGTCGACGGTGGGCTTGGTTCTAATGTCCGCTTCCAAGGGTGCCGTCCATGAAGACGTGTTTGTCAACTTCTGTAGCGTGTCGGTCCATATGTTGGTGGGCCAAGCTTCTGGTATTAGGAAGGTGTCGTCTTCGTATTCAGGCTGAAGTGCGGAATCCACGCTGGGCCATGTCCTGTGTAGTTGTAGGTCGGCATGAACTTTACGAAAGACAATGTTGCTGACGGCCTGCGAGGTCATGATGCCGGAGATGGTGTTGTGCTTGGCAACCATGGGCTGGTGGAACGGAGGGTTCGTGTTGTGGACGATCACGCATAGGTCTTGTGTTCTGGGGAGGATAGGCACAAGACCTGCTGTGCTGGGGACGACTTGAGAAGCCCAGATCCTGTGAAAATGCACGCAAGTCTGCTCCAGCCTAGCCATGGTCTGCGGGTCCGCGAAATTGTGCGTGAAGATCCAGAGCTCCTCGTTGACGCTTTTGAACTTGATGTATCCCCAGTGCCAAAGCTGGTAGATGTTAGGCATGGTGGTCAGGTCGGGATTGGTGCCTTTGCGTATCATCATGCGAAACTGGTATGCGGTAAACTGCAAGATGCGGATGCCGGAGGGTCCTGTCAGGATGTCCCTGAGCAGGGTTTTGACTTGGTGACGTCGGCTTTTCTTGGAGTGCTCGTTCAGGGATTCTGCGTGGCGAAGCATCTGTACGTGCGTGGCTGGGTCGTTGATGTACTCGTTCCAGGACATGAGGATACTCCGCTGCGTTTCTTGCTGAATGGAGGGGAACTTGTGCACGAGCTGCTTGGGCAGGAAGTTCATCCGATTGGGGTAGTATCTGATGACTGGTGTGCCATCTTCCTGTATTTCCCAATGATGGGGTTCTACATACGGCAGCATGTGTAGTAGTTCAGGCTGAATCGGGCGTCTCCACCATGGTGTTTGACTCGGTTCAAGTTGGTCGACTGGTAGAACAGGGAGAAGATGACCGTGATCATGGTGTTGCGAAATCGTATGTGGTTCCACTTCTTGTCCCAAGCTGTCGTATATCTGCTGCAAGCTGGTGACCATGGTGCCACGCGTGTGGACTCCGGGGTTTCGGAGCGGTGACCTGGAGCGATCTTGACGTAGAGGTTCATCATGATCGGGTACTTGTCGGTCCCGTGGTACTGGTATGTGCGGAAAGACTCCAGTGTGCCATGTTTGGAGATCCCGAACTGGGTTGTTTTCGTCGTTTGCCTGCGTGAACATGCCCGTGGCCTGGTCCAGCGGGTGTGCTTGCCGACTTGGATACCTTCTCTGAAACTGGTCAGCATGTTCTTGTATGGTGGAGGCCGGTGTAATGGTGCTGGGACATGTGGTGACCGTCGCAGCTGATTGCGCTTGTCTGCCGGGTAGAATCTCCACATCCGTCAGGTGGTTGGTACCTAGACTTTGTTGATACTCCATCTCCAGGGGCCGCCATCTCGATTGATGTAGAAGTTTGGCACGTATGGTGTGGTGTCTGAACCTGTTGATGGACTGACTGAGACCGTCCTCTTGATTGGCGATGCCGTCGATGTAGCGGGTGGGATGCATGTTCGTAGACCACGGTCTTGGAGGCGTAGGACCGTAGGATTCTCGTCGTGAACCACGGGGATTTCACTTTCTTCCACTATGCTAACAAGCATCGCCTGCCATCGTTGGAGCATATGGGGTCCGAAGACCTGCGCAATGTAATGATCGGGGACTTGCCCGGTCAGCCAACGGTGTAACGCATGCTCTATGTCTTCGTCGGATGTCATGGATCAAACGGTGAGACCGCGCTATTAGTTTTGGCAATCACAAAACTGCGACGCATGCATGGGTGGGCTAACGTGGACATGTGATAGCGTGGTAGTGGAATCCGCTGTTCATGTCAACGTGTCGGGTGAAACGGGAAGGACTGAGCGTGCCGATCTCCATCTCCGCATTATTATTTTGTTATCCCACGTGAGGATCCTACAGCATGACGTGAAGTGAGACGTCTAACATGACAGCAGCATGACATGAGGTGAGACAAAAGGCATGTCATGTAAACCGAAAACATCTTCATGTGGTATGCAACCGTGGCGTCGTCAGGGTGAATATGGTGAATGGTCCATGTTCTCGCTCCTTTACCTATGAAACAGCATTCGGCATGTTAAACATGTGGCTCCAGCGTGGCGTGGGGTGAGACATTCGGCATGTATTGTTAGGCAAATGGAAGTGCAACAGTGCGGCGTGCAAATGAAGCGTTATCCGCGTGAAAGTGGTTCTCGTCTTCATGGTTACCTTAAGCAGCATGAAAATTCTGTGACTTCAGCATGATATGGGATGGGACTTCAGAGATGCAATAAAGAGTGATCAACATGTGAATGCATGGCACGGCGTACTGAATGTGAAACTGCACGGTTCGTCTCGAACTTCTTTGCGGGTCGCAGCCGGTGCGAGATGCCTTCTGGTAGTTGGTGGCGAGTTGGAAGTGAAAAGATACGCAGCCGTCACTTCTTGTTGTTCACGTCGAGCGGTCTCCTTGCATGTGGTCTGGAAGGGCAGTGTGCTTTCGCTGATGCTTTACTCCCTTCTGCTTCGTCTCGATGTTCTGGGTGTTCTGGATCTGTGGGTGTTGGTAGGTGCAGTGGTTCTGGGGTGGTAGAGGTTGATGGTGATGCCGGTGACCTCCGCGTTTTGCGAATCGATAACGCTCTTCTCTGGGTGGGAGAAGATGGTGGTGTAGGTCTGATGTTGATCGTCAAGGTATTCCTCAAGGAGAGCTCGTTGCGTTGCCCAGCCTCCGCCGCCTGTTTTGAGGTGTGAATGTTGTGCTGCTCCTGATTTGATTCTCCCGAAGATGGTGTAGCCGATGTTGACCGTGTCGTCAAAGGGGCCAGCTTTTGCCTTCGGGATGCGAAGCGCTTTCTGCAGGTTGGTGAGGCAAATGCCAAGTTGGTGGTTGTCTGGTGCGTTGTCCTGGTGGAATCTGTTGAAACCTCGATGTGGTAGGTACGCCGCCTGGAATGTGAGGTCAGGGTTGTTCCAATTGGTGCGCTGCCAATTTGTAGGACGAACAAATCCCTCACGTAGTATGTGCCAGATGCCAGCCTCGTCGGTCGCGTGGGTCCAATAGGCTCGGTGAGTACCTCTGTGTGGTGGTGGTGGGGTTCTTGTGTCGTCTTGTGGGAATGGAGGTTGTCGTGTTTCTCGAAGTGGTATGACGAGGACCTGGACCAAGGGCTGGCTTGCTCGGTTGGCCTTCGCGCTGTGGGGGTCCACTGTCAGGATCTCTGGTTGGATGGGAGTGAGCGTAAAGTGAGGTGGGCCCGCGTCTCTGAAACCGCAGAGGTAGGGCGTGACTGATGGGTGTGCGCGTGCAAACGATCTGGCGACTTGTCGGATAGCTTGTTGTGCGGGAGCTGTATTCCACCATGGGTGGTTCGCCGTGATCAGGTTGATGTCGGCAATGAGGTCCTCCATGTACTTGTAATTGCGTGCGTTGATGGGGTCTGCTGGTGGTGGAGGATCTTGAGAGTGGCGCATCTCGGAGACAGATTCTAGGCGGTGCTCGTAGAGCTCGTTCGTACAGGTGTCCGAGTTGTTCTCGTTCTTGATTTGTGAACTTCTCGTGGTTATGATGCACTTCCACTCTGGATGTCGCCGAAGTTGTTCTGGTAGTAGGGTTTCTCGATGAAGATGGAGGTGTAGGGCTTCTGCGTCGTCTGTGTGAGGATGTGTGTTCGGTGCGTCGTGGCCTGGCTTTGAGGACGATGTTCGGCGTGGTTCTGGAGATAGGTCGGGAAGAACTCCTTGTTCTAGACGGTCTGCTTCTGGATGAGGTAGTTGGCCTTCGTGGAGAAGAGCGCCTTCTCGATGGGCCTGGATCTTTGTCCGGTGCTTTGATGGCGTCCGACCTCGATTGTGTTGGTGACGTACTGCGGTTGGCTCGATGAATCTTGGAATATGAGGTAGGCCGGACGCTGTGAGATGCCGGCGACGATGTTGACGGCGGCTTGGTGTGTGGTGTTTTGATGCTGCGTGTGGTGGATCGAGGGGTACGAGAACCACTCATGCTTCTGTGTCTTGCGGGGCGTCGTCTGGTGTCACTGAGCTGTTCACTTCCGCTTTCATGACGTTCAGCAAGTCCGGACGTGGATTGATGCATCGTGGGCACAATCTGTTGAACATGTTCGTGACGCAACTGACGAACTGTGTGAGGTCCTGCATCGATGTAGAAGGCGTGGAAGAAGTCTGCGTCAAAGCCGGTGCTGGTAGAAAGTCTTGGTGATGTGCGTTGATTTGATCTCCCGGTGGTTGCACGTCAGGAACTTTCTGATCTGAATTGGCAACGTTCTGGTGGCTGACTTGTGGCATCACCGTTTGGCCCGATAACGG